GCCGATAGGTACAATTTTCCAAGTGTTGCGTTCCTCCAGTGCTTTCAGCTCCTTGTCCATGGCTTCGCGCCATTTTTCTTTGTGCTCCCCCCCCAGAGCCTGCTGAACTGTCGCAGGCTCCTTAGGAATGGTGGCGCCGTGGACCGCGGTGACGAGCCCAAGTATCTGGAGCCCACTCTGTGTGTAGCGGGGGAGTGTGGGATCCTCGGGATAAACTGCTTCGTCTCCAGCTTCTGGATCAGGTGCGAAGTTGGGCCCTATGCGTTCTGCTTCGTTGGTGTTGTCTTCAGCGGGTGTAACGTAACCATTGTCGGCGAAGTGGTAGTAGACATCGGCGTTGACACTTTCGCGAGGATTTTCTTCGTCCATCGGTACGTCGACTGAGCAGTAGGGGAGAGGTCCGGCTTCTTTCGAGGCTCTGTCCACATTTTGCTCGTCCCAGTCAGCTTCATCTTCTGCCGAGGCGAAGGCTCGGTCTCCACGGAAACCTCCTGTAGGGTCTTGATTGTCGGCCAGGTTGACAAGGTACGTTGGCAGGGTGAGTCGCTCGTAGAAGATGACATCACGTGCTGCCACTGTTTCTTTTGTCGCGACGTCGAAAATCTTCCATGCGTTGTAGTGTTTTTTTATGCCCAGGTGTAGCCCCCACTGTGCTCGTTGAGAGAATCGTCCTGCTCGTGCGGATGGGGGTCGGTACTGTACCATGCAGCCGAAAACTCTCAACATTTTTGTGCTGCCCAATTTTCCTGTCTATAGTAGATGCGGTGATGCGTTGTTCGGAAGTGAGGACGAAGAAAGCAGGTTGTGCAGCATCACGGCGTGGTCCATTGCGTCGGGCCACTGATGGTTGGGTAGCCGCATGCCACGTAGCAGTTTGCGCATGGTGTTCTGTAGGGTCCTGTTCATTCTTTCTGCTACACCTTGCTGTTGATGGGCGTAGGGATGGGAGATGAGTCTCTTGATCCCCTTTTCTGCCAGGTACTGCTTGAACCTCTGTGAGTTGTACTCTCCTCCCCCGTCTGACTGGAAACTCTTCAGCTTGGCGCCCGATTCCCTTTCTGCTACGGGAAGCCACGCGACGAAGGCTTCGAAGGCCATGTCCCTGCTCGGAAGGTTGAGATGCCAGACGTAGCGTGTTGCTGCGTCGATGAACGTGATGGTGTAGTTGTACGCGTTCTGTCCGGGGGCGGGGTTGGACAGGATGTCGCTGTACACTTTTTCGAGAGGTGCGTAGACCGGAGCCCCGGGATTGTGGTGAGATGGGAACGGTTGGTGTGGTAAGTCGGCTTCGGGACAGGTAAAGCAGGTTCCTCGTGCTCGTTGTAGTTCTCTCCCGTCAGTTAGTAGTAGTGAGTCCTTGTCGAGCACTCCTGCCCTTATCGTATTATTTAACACTGTGTTGCTTGGGTGTCCCATTCTTGCGTGCCAGGTGCTTTCGTCGGTGTTCGGGTGATCGTTGATACAGATCGGAGTTGGAGTAGAAGCCGGCGGTGACGTTGGCGCTTCTGTGGACTTCTCGTGGTGTTGGGTTAAGCTGCTGCGCGGGTGTCGGTGGCGTGTCGTCGATGAAGGGCGGTGCCGTTGAAGGACCGGCGACTGGTGTTGATGTTTCTGCTGCTACTGCTGTTGTCTCTGCTGCTGCCGATGTTGTCTCTGCTGCTGCTGATGTTGTCTCTGCTGCTGCCGTCGTTGTCTCTGCTGCTGCCGACGTTGTCTCTGCTGCTGCCGACGTTGTCTCTGCTGCTGCCGACTGTTGAATCGTTGCTAACGCTCTTGTTCTTTCTGTTTCAGGAATGGTGTGTGAATACCAGAAGCCACCGGGACTGAAGTCTGGATCAAGATCTGGAGGGTGTGTCCAGTTGGTGAAGTTGACGATGGCGTCGCTGTCGGCCGTGCCAAGATCAGGAACGAAGTCAAGAACGAAGACGTTGTTCTTGAGGACCGCCTTGCCGATGTAAAGTCCTCCTCTCCCGTGGTATAACTTGAACTCTTGGGTGGTGCTGTCTGCTTCAAGATGGATGCTCTTCGCCATCAGCTGACTTACGCTGAGTAAGTTGTAGCCGAGGCCTTCTGCAATTAAAACCTTGGACATCTGTAGAATGACGTTTGTCTCTCGTGACTGAAGTTGAACGATTCCTTGTCGTCGTGTGCGCAGGTTCTGATTGTTGGCGACGGTGATGACTACTTCTCGTTGAAGCTGGTACTCTCGTTGCACGAAGCGTCCTGAAGAACACATGTGCTGTCCGCAGCAACTGTCCAAGAACCATGTGTCCTTCCCGGATGGTTCGCTTTGGGCGATGGCGGCGTATGTCGGGTTCGGCTGAAGTGACTCGCGGCGAGGTGTCGTTTCGTCGAGTTGTTCTTCTGGTGAGTAGTGCGGTGGTGATTCCGTGATGCAGGAGTCACTCAGTCTTGCCATGCAGCTAACGATGTTTCTTCCTCCTTGTGCAGTTTGTCCCATTGAGGTCGTTGAATCTTGGATCTGATTCGTTGAATTCGCTTGCGTTGAGGTGACTTGGCTGCTTGAAGGTCGTAGTTGCCGCTGCAGTGGAGTCTTTGACTGTTGACGATTCGGGCAGTGCGTGCGCGGATGTCCTGAAGTTTTGCAGATGTGGCTGAAGGGAGGTACGGGTTTCGGTTGATGTCGGGTGTTGTTGTTGTTGTAACGCCGTTGAGTGTGAAATGCGAACTCCGGTGCTGATGTCTTTCTCTTGTGCCTCTCCTCTTGCAGGTCCATGTCCTGCTACTCCGCGTGGATTTCGGCGCAGAGCGCTGCTTCAGAGATTCTTCCGTGGGCTCGGAGGATGGCCTTTGTTGCGCGCCATTGAGGACCGAGGCCGCCAATGATGACTGTCACGAAGGCGTCTTCAGAGATCGACCCTCCGCATCGAAGAAGCTTGTCGCGCAATTCGCGACATCGGCTGATATACGCCATTCCTTTCTCTCCTGGTTTCATTTCGACTGTTGTCAACTGCGCCATTAACCTGCTCTGGTTTACGCTGTCTGTTGCTTGATACAGGCTCTTCAGGTGGCTGTACGCGAGCTCAGCGGAGTTGCCGTAACCCCGGTAAGAACGTATGTTCTGCTGCTGAGTCGGTGTGACGTTCCTCAGCAGAATCGTATACGCCATCATCGACTGATACGTATACTGCTGTTTCTCATACTGTGTGCCATTTGTTGGGTATTGCAGGGACCCGTCGAAGAAGCCGAGTATCTGCGCGCCTTCCATCATGAGCTCGAACTCAAACGACCAGGTGAAGAAGTCTTTGCCGTCGAAGGGCCTTGACGTCTGCAGCTTCAAGACGTGTGCGAATTGCGACTGAACTTGCAGTGCATCCAGTGGTTTTTCTTGTCCAGGTGGAGCTTGCGGGTGCGGCATGAAGCTGATGGACCCGCGTTCGTACGGAGCAAAGGTGGGTTGCTGCTGGTTTCCGCGCGCATATGATGAGCCGTCGAGACTCATTGGAGTCGCCTCATGGTTGTTGTTGCTGTTGTTTGACTGCGCAGGTGCCGACTGCTGGTGCTGCTCGTAGAAGGACATGAAGGAGAAGAATTTCTCCATCATACTCTGGTCGAAGCTGGCAGGTTGATTCGGAGGAGTCTCGGTAGACGTTGCTCTGGGTTTTGTTGCCGTGCCTTCCTCTGTCTACAGGCCAGAGGTAGGAGGTGGAGTAGGAGTAGCGCCAGGAGAACCGTTAGAGGAGCTCCTTTCCTTCTGTGTTGCCATGTCTTGTAATGCTTCTGATGACTTGATAGTAGTGGAGTTTCCCCTGTTTGCTCTCATACCATGTTGGGCTGAGAAAAGCCCTTAGGATCTTTGCAGGGGTAAACTCTGGGTAGGAATAGTTGTAATAGCGGAAGCGTTAATGAAGAACTTGTGAACCACCTTGCGCTAGTATGTGAGGGCAAAGTAAGTTGATTAAAACAAGAAGATACAAGGATATATATAAGATTACAAGGAATATGAAAGGATACAATAACTACTTTTGCTGTTGCGGTTCGATACAGTGACGACTCGGGCAACTGCTCTGTAGCGAGTCAGTTGTGTGTCCTTGCTGTCGCGCTGTACTTGTCAGGTCAAAGGTCGCTGACCTTTGACTTTCGCGTAACCTCCAGCAACCTCTCAACCTCCAAGGGTTGACTCGCGAATGTCTCGATATGACTTTGCTTCGCTTCTGGTGCGATGTTTCGACATGACAGAAGCGTTTAAGATTCATTGTTTCCAACAGGTCTTTCGTCCTCGCTGCAGTCATCTTCGCGTTAAGGATTCGTTACTTTAGGAATGTTCAATCATTCCATATCGTAACACCCCGCTTTCCCGAAATTTGTCAGATCGTGATTTCCGATAATCACGCAAGTACCGAGGATTTTTTCCGTGCAGTACGAGCGTTGGCCGCAGTGACGTGTCCGATTGGTCTGCTAGGAATGATTCCCTTGCCAGCACACCACGAAACTGAACCTAGGTTTTACGGTACCTGTATTAGTTTAGGACTTTGCGAACATCTGTCAGTGTTTGAAAAAAAACCACACTGATGATGCAGGGTAAAAATTTCAAAACCTGATGTTACACTGCTCAATCAGTGTAACGAAAAGTACACACTGCCCATAAGGGTTTTTGAAAAAGCTACACTGCCAATCGTGAGTAGGCCAAATCCAAACCTGAGCCCTGTTTGTAGGTATGCACTTGTCTACGGACGGAAACATTTAGTATCCTGCATCTTTTCCAATCCAAGTGGTATTATTACATATATTGAAGGGTTGCCCAGGTATTTTCAACTGCACAAGTGGGTTGCCTAACCATCCTATCAACAGTACAGCATTTAACGAGGTTGGATGCCATGTTATTAGCTGCATTGTCCCATAGATGACCATGACGCATCACTGCCCTCGACCAGGCCTCAGCCACACTAGTCCCTGCAGTTGCCAAGGTGGATTCTATCCTGTGGCTTAGAGTTTGCCTGCTCACAACTTAAACAAATAACTAGGTGAGTTTAGCCAGCTTAGGTTGACACCAGGCGCACGGTGAAGGTCTTGGGTCCCACCTCCTCTGTGATGCACAGGAGGGAGGGAAGGGAACAGGGAGGAAGAGGGAGGGGGGTGGAGAAAAGGAGAGAATTGGGAGGATGGGGAGGCTGAGGTAAGGGCAGGGCAGCAAGCGAGGTGGGAAAAGAAGGGGGGGATGGTAAAGTAGGATTGGTGGGGGAGTGGGAAGAAAGTGTGGGGCATCAATGGGAGGAGGGATGTAAACAGTGAGGAGTAAGAAAAGGGGGGGGAAGGGAGTGGGGAAGTGAGCAAGGGAGGGCGTCAGGAAAAAGTGCGCAAGAAAGGGAATAGAAGGAAAGAGTGTGAGGGAATAAAATGAAAGAGTGCGAGGGACTAAAAGGAAAGAGTGCGAGGGACTAAAAGGAAAGAGTGCGAGGGAATAAAAGGAAAAAGTGCGAGGGAATAAAAGAAAACAGAGCGAGGGAATAAGAGGAAAGAGTACAAGGGAACAAAAGGAAAGAGTGCAAGGGACTGAAAGGAAAGAGTGCGAGTGACCAAAAAGAAGCTGTCATCAACCTTCAGCTGTTCACCATCCTTCTGCGCCCTACCTCTACCTCCCTCCAATTACCCTCCCCCTCCAATCAAAGCCTGCATGCCAGCATGTCCGTCCCAAAGAAGAGCGCCACCTCGGGCCGAATCCATGTGGAACGGACACCACAGCCATCAGCCCCGGCCGTATCCCACCTTGTGCGCCCTACCTCTACCTCTCTCCCTTGAACCCCCCCCCCTCACCAATCAAAGCCTGCATGGCCAGACGAAAAAGACAGCCACCTTGACCTGCCACCACTAGGCAATACCACGTGCAGTCACCAGACACCATCATCAATCAATGAACCATTAGGCGTAGCCTCCCCGGCTTACCAATCAAGGCCTGCACGCCCGGCCCAAAGAAGGATGTCAACTTGGCCTGCCTCTCCATGAAATCCGCTTTAGAGAGAGCCGGGGCCTCGAAGACAAGCACCAGGGAGTACCGTCCGTTGTACACCTGGAAAGGAGGGAGATTTGGAGAATATACACAAGAACGGTTTAGAGAAAAATGGGGCCTCATAGATGGGAGACATGGGCAGGCAAGATGGTCAAAAGAGGAGGTACAGTCATGGGAGGAAGAGCCTTTACCACGTTGATACTCAGAAGCACACCACAAACACACGGGAGTTACACTCCAAAATGCTTTCTTATTTCAACAGGTTTAGCTATAGGTGAAAATGCGGTTGCTTATTTGCTCACCTGCTCGCTGATAGAGGTGAGTGTAGGTGCGTTTCTGCGCTGAATGCCTCCCGACTGCCATGCGTAGGCAAGTTGGGAGTCGAGCGAAAGGGAGGGAAGAAGAAGGGGGGTCAGAAGGGGAAAGGAAGGGTGGAAGGAAGGGTGGAAAGAAGGGATGCACAGAATGGGTTAAAATGATGATGGTATCTTTGCATCTAGGCCGACTCAATTATCACAAGATTGCAGCAAACTACTATCGCACCAAGTTGTTTGTGGCAAACTACTATCTCACCAGGTTGTAACGAAATATTCTCTTGAGAGCCTCCTCCAGGTGCTGCTCGTCTCCGTAGCGGAACCGCGTGACATCACTGCGCACCTGGTAGACAGGCGGAGGGGTGGACGGGGCATGGAGCAGGGGAGGCAGAGAAACATGTGAGAACGCGACCAAAAGGCATCCTTTAGTCCAGCGACCACGACCAGAGTAAGGGCCCACAATCAGCGCATTCATCCCTCACTTGCTAAAAGATGGGCGCGGGCAGTGTCTCCCTCAGAGGGCCACACCAGTCACTGACTTGCACCACCAAGCCTAGCATCCCGCGGCTTTAAGAGCCACGTTCAGCACACGCATCCCTCATCTGCTGCAGGATGGGCGTCGCCTGACCTCCCTGAGAGCCACAGCGCGAGCATACGATGTGCATGGCACCGACTTTGGTTCAATGCCACACGGCAAGCCAAGCACCCCACCGCACACTTGAAGGGCCCACCCACCCCACACTCAGCACACTCCCCCCTCACCTGCTGCAGGATGGGCGTAGCCTGTGTCTCCCTCAGCGCCACAGCGTCAGCATACGATGTGCATGGCACTGGCTTGAGCTCCGCATACTGCACAAGGGGAGGGGAGGAATGGAGGCATCAATTCAATACAGGTGATGATGCTGATGTGGGGGCGTGTGGCGGGTTCCAGTACAAGACAGCGTCAGCATACGATGTGCATGGCACCGGCTTGAGCTCTGCATACTGCACGAGCCACATGGGGAGGGGCGGAAAGGAGGCATGAGTTAAGTCAGGCTGATGATGCTTTTGAGTCGACTCAAGAGCAGCTCCGCGTACCGCACAAGCCACATGGGGAGGAATGGAGGCGTACGTTCAATCAGACTGATGATGCTGAGACGGAGGCGTGTAGCGGGTTACAGTACAAGACAGGCTATGATGACCAGCGCGCCAAGCACAGTGAGCATGGAAGCGCTATCAACCCCCCCCAGTGCATGCACCACATGCATGTTGAAACACATGGACGCGGATAGAAGATACATATAGAATGAATCATTGCCAGCCGGAAGCCATAGGTGTGTATGAGGACACACGACTTGGATTCGTTCTCGAGTCGACTCAAAACATGGAAGCCATGGGTGAAGTGAATGACGGAGGGCCGCTTGGAGCCCTTGGAATGCCCCGCCAATCAGCCAGAATAAATAGTATCATAACATTTATGTAATACATCATATATAGAACTTGTACCTTGAGAGCGAATCCAATCAGCGCAGTGGGGAAGCCGTAGGTGAGCATGAGGGCGGAGGACTCAGAGCCCGGCAGGAACTGGAAGTAGGCGCCGAAGCCGTACGACAGCAGCAGCAGCCCCACCGTCAGCCCGATGGTGCCAAACGACGTCTGCAGAGGAGTGACAGAGGGAGAGGGGGGGAGAGGGGGGGAGAGGGGGAGGGGAGAGACGGATGACAGAGTGATATGAGCAGGCGCGCTGTGTGCTGGTTGGAAAGCCTGGATGAGCAGCAAAGGCAACTGTCAGGCCGACGGTGCCGAAAGACGTGTGGGGAGAAGGGACAATAGAAAATGGGAGAGAAGGGAGAGGAGGAAGAGAGGGGAGAGCGAAGAGAAAAGGGGGATTTGGGAGAGGGGTGAGAGAAAACAGGGAAGGGATAATACCCCCTCCACGCTTTACACGGCCTCATTCGTACCTTACTAGCTTTCAGACGCGCTTTACTTCTCCTTCAATCTCGAATCACTACTCGCCCTCAAACACATAATCTGGTTCGTCTTCTATCGAGTACCTTGATCCGCATTCAATCGAGTACCTTAGCTCGGCGTAATCTGACTCGATATTGGATAATCGTACGTAACTAGTTCTGCCTGGTTGCGTTTCAGCTGCTGACTTGATTCGCCTTGAAGGCGTCACAAGTTTCAGTGTAAATCGCAGATCTCGGCAATCAGTGGAGCATTTGCTGATGCTCAGCTCGGGTACCTTTGCTAAAGACGGAATCAAATTGGCCCAGTGCTATATGTATCTTTACGTTGATAAGCTTTAGCAAGGGGTATGTTATCGACGCGACCTATAGTGGGTCAGTGCGCTGTGCCTGCTACGCCGTTGACCTCATTATCGAATATCTTGATTGCGTAGCTGCCTTGTTACCCGTGCACTGGTGAAGCTACGCTTGCTTGCAACGTGTACATTGGTGACGCTTACTCGGGCAGAAAGTCGTTGACCTAGATGACTCAGGCTTGCTACTGGTCAACCGCAACGCCTATCGTGGTTCCTCTGCTTGCTTATACCGCGTACATTGGTTCGTGTCACTTACAACGTGTACATTCGGTGATCCTCCTCTCGCTAATGACGCGTACCTTGGTAATGCTCAGTTCCGAGTCAGGCACCAGGACGTTGTTCTTGCTCACGAGCGACGCATCGAACGATGCCGGCTGTGGTTCAGCCGTCTCCGCTGCCGCTTGACCGTCAGACGCCGCTCGCACCGTCAGAGTTGACGGCCGGCAGCGGCTGACGGCCGTCTGTCGGTTAATCCGCATAGCCGAACGTGCCATTAGTAGGCTCAGACGCGATTGAACATTTTGTTGCGAAGAGACATTCGCGACGGCGAATGCTGGCGAAGCGAGCGAGGAGACGACAGTTTGTGCCGCCATTGTGACTGGCAATCTCGCACAAAGGAAGCTCAAAGTTACTAAGCGAAAGCCTCAACGCGCCAAGCCCGGGATCCCTGAGCGTTCCGTTCACTAGATAATCTAATGGCACGCTCAAGCTTCGCGACAGAAATTGAATGCTTTGAATCAGACTGGACGAAAGTGCTGCTTGTGACATGGAATTGCACGTCAGGTAGTTATTTCAGAGGGCGTGTGCCAAAACGCAGCTGGGCCGCAGCTGCTTCGCGCGGACCAGGAGGGACCAGCGCGGACCAGCCGTAGACCAGCTACGGATCCCCTGTGGACTCGATTTACAGCGCTCATCCCATGAAGCACTTGTGGACGTGGAAGTGGTACACGACCCCGAGGACCATCTCACCAAATCCGACTTTCAAATTAGCGAAACCTGCACAAGATGGAAAAATGGTTTCGCCTATGCTCGTTCTATTGTGGCAAGTTACGCCATTGACTCGCCGACAATTCGCTCGACCAGTCACAAAGTTTCTGTCACGCGGGTCACTGCAATTAATCCTCAGTACCACGCCGGAACGAGCTGGGGGGACGAGATAGGTGATGATGGGGGGCCTTGGCCATGCCGCGTATTGTTCTCCTTGGGATTGAGCATGGTGAATCTGAACCCCATCGCAACCGAGAACCGCGTGGCAGTCTCTTGCTCTGCCATGTGGCATCGACTTCGTGTAGCGAGGGTATCCATCAGCAGTTCAGGGGACTTGTAATCGAGTTTTCTTCTTATCTATAAGTCCTGCGCCAATTAAATGACACATACGTTTATATTGAAATACACCAAACAGTTCATCTCGTTCGTCACTGTGGAACCCTCAGCTAGACGCTACCAGTTTTCATTCTTCTTTCAATTCATAGCAGCCAAACATTCCCCAGGTGTTGCACAATAGTACCGTACGACAAACACAATTCCAAAGGGTGCATTTTCTGGTTGGTTACCATTTGTGCTGACAACGCACACACCATCAGGATAAAAAACTCCCGCAGGGTCCACTGGGTTACAGATGCAAGGCGTGTGTAACTAACCATGTTCTAGGAAGGCATGCTCGTCAAATGCTCCATACGAGGATCGAGACCCAAATGATAATTGTATGTATACGAAGGAATATGTAAAACAGGGAGGGTGTAGCGTAAGCATACGATGCTCCTGAAGAAGGATCATACCAAGGGCTGCGCACCCAACAGCCTACCTATGGCCTCCAGAAACACCCCCCGCTGCTCCCCCCACAGACTCCACAGGTGGGGGAGGGGCCTTGTACCCCATCTTCCTCCCCAGCTCTGACAGCTGCTCCACAAACTGACTCCCCGCCAGCATCTCAGTCGTCCCATACACCACCGTGCGTGCTCCTGCCGCCCCACTCCCCGCCCCTGCTTTCCTCGCCATCTCCTGCAAACCCCCATACTCCATGTAGTTCCCCCCTCCAATCACAAAGACAATTGCATCCCGCACTGCCCCTCTGCTGCCCCCTGCTGCTGTGCTGCTGCTCCCTCCCTTGGGGGCCTTCGGGTCAAGGCAGAGAAAAGAATCTGTATCCTGCCCCGGCCGGCCCTCCATGAGAGCTTCAACTGCCCGGGTCAGCTGCAGCTGCCTACCCCCAGCCAAAAGATTCTTCACACCAGCAGTCACACGTGACAAACCCTGCCCAGCGAGCCGCCCGGCCCAATCCAGCAGATCATCCTTGCTGCCGCCCACGCCGCCCACTCCTCCCGCCCCACCCCCCGCGGCAGCCACCGCAGCAAAGCTTGAGTTGACGCGCTTCACCTGCTTGATGTAATGCAGAGCGGCCAGGTCCACCTGCTGCTCCCTCAACGCCGCTTCCACCGCCTCCACATCCCCCGCACTCGCATTATCCGTCGCCATCAGGTAGATTATCGCCAGCCGCAGCTTATCCTCCTTGGACCCCCTCTTCCTGAGTAAGTCAAGCATCGCCGCCCGGTCAGTGCTGCCCCGGGTCAGCAGATCCTCTTCCATAGAAAAGTACGCGTCGAGCGCGCGCGACTTGATCTCCTCGAGGAGCGTGCCGCCGATGGTGACGTGCTTGTCGATGACTCGCTTGCGCTCCATGAGCTGCGGCACGGCGCTCATGGCGGCCGACAGCTGCCTCGTGCGCCCCATCAGGTCCTCCTCCTCCGCCTCTGAGAACGCGTCCCCCGTGGGCGAGGCCGCGTTCACCTGCTCCTTGTCCTGCGTCCACTTCTTCAGCAGCATGTCCACCTGTGAGCGGGGAGAAATGGGGATAACGGGGAGAATCGAGAAGAGCGTGAGGAAGTACAGAAGTGCTGGCGAAGAGGGGGAGGAATATAGTAGTTGGGCTCGTGGCTGCAGAGATGCTAAGTGCGCCCCATCATTCCCTCCTCATCCTCGCCTACCTTAAAGAAAAAGGCAGAGACATGGGCAGGCGATGCTTGATGAAATGAGAGGGAAAGAACAGAGCCACCTCGGATGCATGAAGGAGCGAAAGGAAATGAAAGAAGGCACACTACGGATGAGATCATCCTCAACAGTGCTTATCAAAACTCAACCGCGCTCAACATTTATTCACCCTGCCCCAACATGTCAGAGGTGCACTGGAAATCCACGATTGATCCTAGAGAAGAGTTACAAGCACGTTGGCCTGAGGGGCACTCACCCGCTACACAAACAAGCCCTTTTATCCCAGTGATTAGTGGCTAAGATTCTGACACATCACACTCACCGCTTCGGCTGCCTTGGGAAACGGGGACTCTGAATGAGCCACCCAGAAGCTGTCCGAGTCATCCAGCTCATAACTCGTCGCCTTGGCGCCACCACCACCAGCTCCCTTCAGCACCGGCGACAGCGGCCCACTCCCTGCAACTGCTCCCCCTGCTGCGCCTCCCTTGTGAATGCTCACTCGATTTAGCTTCATCCCCAACACATCATGCACCAAGGGTCGGTACGTCCACTCATGCTGCACCCCCACCGCCAGCTCGAAATTCCGATCCGCTATAAACAGCAGCGGCCGCTGAAACAGCCCCAGCGCCCCGGCCCCCCCTGCCCCCGCTCCCACCCCCCCTCCCCCTGACGCCACAGCGGCCGCCCCTGCTGCCAGCGCGCCTGCCGCTGCCTCCTTGAAGAGGTTGTTGTGCGTGGCGAGATGCGCCCTTAGCTTCGCATCCAGCTGCCTCGCTACCATCTCTGCTGGCCCTCTCTCCGGACAGCGAATCACGGGCACCACTCCCAGCGTCACCAGCACGCAGAACAGCCCGTTCACGATACTCTCCACTGCCCCCTCCACGTCCTTGTCCTTCGCCATTGGGTCGTTCAGCCGCACGTAACTATCGGGCTGCCTGAGCGAAAACAACCCGTGGTCAAGGCACACAAACTCCAAGTACTGGTCAAACACCCGCGCCACGCGGTGCAGCGCATTCGCCTTGAGGGTCCCGGCTGCAAGGTCTTCCAAAAGAAGCCGGGGCACGGAGGAGGTGAAGTTGAGGTGCATCTTGTCGTACGTGCCGCGCGTGGCGTCGTGCACGAGGCGCTGGATGTTGCCCGGCGTGGGCTGCAGGAAGTAGACTGCGGGCACGTCCGGGATGGGCTGCCGCTCCGCGTCCACCATCAGGTGCAGCGTTATGCCGTGCCGCCGCAGGTCCGACACCTGGAGAGGGAGAGGGTGGGTAGCGGGGGCGTGGAGGGTGGGGGTGAGATGGAAGGGGGCCGAAGGGAAGGGTGCGTCCGGGATGGGCTGCCGCTCCGCGTCCACCATGAGATGGAGAGTGATGCCGTGCTTGCGCAGGTCAGACACCTGCGAGGGAAGAGAATGGGGGGGGGGGGGGGGGAGTAGCACCGAACCTCACCTTGAGCACCGAGCCTCACCTTGAGCACCAAGCCTCACCTTGAGCACCGAGCCTCGCCTTAAGCACCGAGCCTCGCCTTGACCACCAAATTTCATCTTGAGCACCAAGCCTCACCTTGAGCACCGAGCCTCAGCTTGAGCACCGAGCCTCACCTTGAGGAGCAGTGAAAAGAGGAATTTCAAGCATCTGACCCGAAGTGGCACCTTGTACACGCCGCCGTCTGACAACAGAGACGCTCCTCTCCTCGCCTCTCCTCTCCTCTCCTCGCCTCTCCTCTCCTCTCCTCGCCTCTCCTCTCCTCTCCTCGCCTCTGCTCGCCTCTCCTCGCCTCGCCTCTCCTCTCCTCGCCTCTCCTCTCCTCGCCTCGCCTCGCCTCGCCTCGCCTCGCCTCGCCTTGCCTTGATCATCTGACTTCAGATTGCTTACAAGAGAGGAGGAGCCTCACCTTGAGGAGCGGCGAGATGAGGTCGCGGGAGTATCTATCGAGCAGAAGCACCTTGTACACGTCGCCGTCTGACGACAGGCCGCCGCCCACCGTGACTACCACGGGGCTGTTGAGGTTGAGCATGCGCACGATGGCGTCTGGTGGTGTGCACGGGCGAACAGTGGGATGGAAAGGGGTGAGGAGCGGTGAGTAGGGGCTGCAGAGGTAATTGCGGGCAATGAGGACAGAGGCGTGTGACGGGGCTGTTGAGATTGATGTGCGCACCAAGGCGCTAGGTCCGCACGGACGAACAGTGGATGGAGTGGGTGAGGAGCGGTGAGATGGAGAGTGAGGATCGGTGAGCAGGATGAAAAGAGGCGCGATCAGGGAAGGGATGGAAGGGATACAGAAAGCAGCGAGGCAGCGAGGCAGCGAGGTAGAAACGTCCAATCGCGTGTCAACGATGATCTGCCAGGCTTTTCAACCATCGCACGCTGCCGATTAATCTGCCCGAAGGAATCTGTCGCTGCTACCGCTCAACCGTTCTGCAGGCATGTCGCGTCGCGTCCCCACCATCGCTTACCTATCTGCTTCTGTCGCAGAGAGAGCGCCATGCTTTCGCCTCGCTGTTGGACACCCCTACTACTATCGCTGACGCGACTGTCGCGAATGCCTGCTGTCTGCGACGCGCGGGAGGACGGCGATCACCGAATCGACGAATACTCGAGGCGGAATTCACAGGTCCTGGCGTGGTTATAAAGTGGACGCTTGCAGAGTATGCATCAGATGACACCAAAAGTTTTGCACGAACACTAACGTAACAAGAAAATTGTATTTTGAATCGACTAAGAAATGTAATAACGGCGGTTTTGCCGAAACGCGTACTTTCTGCCTCTAAGGCATCACAAATACTCTTCAAGATGCTTCTAAGAGATGCTCGACCAGAATCAAAGAGTTGCTCTGCGAACGATTGACGGCGAGTGTACGGAGCACGTTTGATTACAGAATGGCAGGAGGTTTTCCTGGTCCAAGCTTTTCGGTCCCAGAGCTCCGTGGCTAAGATAAGGACGAGGAGAGCGCGCAGTGGCGGTGCAATACTGCTTTGAAGGGAATTCCTTCTGTTGTGGTGAGGTGCGAGCTGTGGTTGGGAAGCAGAGCAGATCCGAGCCAAACCATTTTCCCTCAGTCGGGTGACAGCCTTGAACCAGGGCAAGTCTGACACCCTCCATACGCGCTAGAAAAGTTTCGAGCTTCGAATCGCCTGGCAGCTCAACCCAGCTTCTAAGTCTCTGGTTATCTCATTTACAACAAAGAGGATAAATTGAGAATCTGGCTGGTGAAGAACATGACACAACGGTGAGCACAACCGTTTTGCGATTTGCTCAAGTAAGCACAACGCCAAGAAAGAAATAAGGAAAACAAAAATCTCGCAAAGTTGCTCTCGCAAGGTTGGTCTCAGTTTGTCTTGCATGGGGCGAAGGGAAATAAGTTTCGTGCTACCGTATCATGGATTCAGGGGTGAGAACGAAGAGGCTTGTGATGCAGTCCGTCATTTCGTGCCCTGAAGGCCCCTCGTCCCGCTCGTCACGACAGTCGGGACAGAGGTCGTGACGGCCAGCGTGGCGAGATTAGTGCTGGTCGTCGGCGGCCCCACTTGTCGACTTTTGATACAAGTCTTGACGGTACCACACCAGGAAAATTCCGATAGCATACCGTAATCACGCAAATTCAGAAAAGCATGCAGTGCTATTGCATGGGGCAAATGGAAATGTGTTTGGTGCTATCATGGATTCCGTGGTGAGGACGTAGGGCTTATGGTAGGGTCCGTGCTTGAAATCAACCTCAATAAACAGTGCTCGATAGCCCACCTGAGCACAGGAGCATGGGGGAGAGAACAGACAAAAATGGTGAAACAAGGTTACCGGTATGAACATGGTGAAAAGATGGAAGGACACATAGAAGAAACACCCGCTTGGTTATCAACAATGCAAGGTGTGGCCTGGTGTGGGGAGGCATATAAAATGGTAAACAGCAGAGCATCAGTGTTGGTAACTTAGGGGAACCAGCTGGAAACGCCATAACAGTTGGAGAAGCCACTACAGTTGGGAAAGCCACTACGACTGGGAAAGCCACTACAGCTGCGAAAGCCACTAGCTGGGAAAGCCAGGCAAAGTACAACACAGTCACTGCTGAAGCAGAACATCACATGCTGCTCCTCCTTCATAGGAACATTCCTTGTCAAATCACAGTTGACTCAAAAGAACTTAGGGGAGTACCACATCTCAACACTTGTTTGAACTTAGCTACACTTCATCTTACAAATCGTTAAACAACTCCACAATGATACACTTCAGAACACTCCATTATTACAATTCACCACATTTAATTCAGCCATGCTCCATGACGCGCACCTTGGGAATGTCTTTGACGGAGGAGCTGAAGTGCCAGAGCCCGTCAGGCTGCAGTGCGGGCGGCGAGACGGCGTGCAGGAGGAACGGGATGGGCTGTACACAGAGCGTGCCGAACTTGGCTACGTAGGTACCTGGCAGACTCTTGAAGGGGAACACACTGGCGAGGAAGCGGGCAGCGGGTTGAAGGGAAGGTGAGGAAAATAGTATATAGTGGAGATAAATGGAGAGGCAAGGGTAGAGGAAGGAACCATTTGCTCACTCAGTAGTGAACACACACAGAAATATTTGTTACCAAGTGCAACAGCACACGCACATGAACAGTTAGCAGAGTCACAACACTGAGGTTTAGAACAAACTATAAAGAACAACTGTGAGTATTTTTTCACCAAGCTATTCACTCACCCTCCTCCTTGCACCCACCAACCCGTGAGCCCCTCCTGACCATGTGAGCCCCACCCCTGCAACCTGCCCTCCCTTGCACTCATCACCCGGTGAGCCCTGCACTCACAACCCCTTGAGCCCTGCACTCACAACCCCTTGAGCCCTGCACTCACAACCCCTTGAGCCCTGCACTCACAACCCCTTGAGCCCTGCACACCCTTGAGCCCTGCACTCACCACCCCTTGAGCCCTGCACTCACCACCCCTTGAGCCCTGCACCCACAACCCCTTGAGACCTGCACTCACCACCCAGTGATCCCTTGCTTCACGATGAGTCGAAAGTCCCGCCGCTTGCTACCCGGCCTCGTGTGCCCAGTCCTGCATTGCAGTGGCGGAGAGGGGGACATGGAAAGGCGGCGGTGGGGTGGGGTAAATCGCAGGGGGGGGAAGAGAAAGGGGCTGGGGGGAGGAAGGAATGACATGGTGTGACTCACGGCAATGTGAGAGCCAGCTAGAGGGGTGAGAGCACGAGTTGCAGTGCTGAGGTGGTTCCTTAAATCACTGTCATCAAGCCACCAGTCCCTTGTTCCACACAGCCCGTCACTCCTTTTTCTATGCAGCCCCTTGATCTATGCAGCCCCTTGTGTTACTGCAAGCGTGAAGCATCGGCGAGCAGACTAGAAAAGGGCGGGTCCTGTGGAACCATTGACGTGCCTTACAGTCGAGCCAGCATCCCTATCTTTACCCCAACCTGCAGGGAAGTGCTTTGAAGATTCCAGGAACGTCACTGTGGAGATTTCTGACAGCCCTGCACCTTCCATTCCTACCACCGCTTCTTCGCACCCCTCCATGTATCCGTTTCCCCGCTATCCCCCCTCGCCATCCCCGTTCTCCATCACCCTACCCATTCCCCTCCCCAACTCTCACCATGCTCTAACCGCCAATGGCTTCCTGTCTGACGTGGCATGGATGGTGAACGTGGGCCAATCAAACCGCCACCTCAGCTGCGGCCAGTCAACAGCTGGCAGCTCAGGAACGCACTCCCAGGGGGGTTTCTGTGCCGCTGCCACTGCTGCCCCCACTGCCGCCCCCACTGCTGCTGCCTCTGCGTCTGGGAGACTGGAAGGCTGAGGGTTGTGAGGGTTGTGAGGGGCGTGAGAGGAAGGGGAGTCTAACGAGGTGGAGGTGGGGGTGAGGGTGGTGGGGCGAGTCCAGGTGAGGGAGGGGCGGGAGGAGGCGGGGAGAGCGGCGCAGGAGGAGTTGACGTGCAGGAGAGAGGCGAGGAAGGAGTTGGTCGCATCATAGGCCTGAAAGGTTGGGTGGTAGCAGACAGGGAAATCAGGGAAGGGGAGTGGGGTGTGAAAGGGGAGTGGGTCGTCAAAGGGGAGGGGGTGTAGAAGGCAAGGGGATAAGCGAGGGGGGTGGGGTGGGAGGCGACAGGAGAGTAAGAAGAAGGAGAGGGAAGCACCCAATGTCTACAGTATGGCGGGGATTGGGGAGGGGAGGGGGAAAGATGAGGGGGGACTTGCAAAGGTGGGGGACAAAAGGAGGGGACAAGGACGGACCCACCAGAAGCAAAGGTTGATGGTGAGGAGTGGAAGGAGCGAGAGTGATGACAGGAAGAGCGTGAGGCAGAAGGGGGTGAAGTAGGGGAAATCCATAAGCGCAGGAAGAACGGAAAAGGCATGGGTGGCGGAACTATGGGAAAAGAGACGTGGGACATGCGTGAACCGTGAGACGTTTGACGTGCGTGACTGGCAGGGTACCACAGGAATGTGAGGGGATGGGTGAACGATGATAGGCGATGGGAGATGCAGATATGGAGAGGCGAGGTCAGCAAGTTGAAGGGAATGGAAGGATTGAGTAAATTTAATACAAGCAATCATTCGACAGAGATTTGCGGAAATTGCAATGAGCCAATTGTTGAAACAACACTGGGATTGGCCTCTGGTTTGGCTGGAAGGGCTACAAGTTAGGCACTTGGGAGGCGTGGGCGCGCTCACCCGCTATGCAAACATGCCGTTTTATCCCAATTGGTTAGCGAACTGGAGCTATCCCTGCATGGAGACGTGAACGTGGAGAAGACTGGGGTTCGACTTCTGCTGTTGGCGATTTCCTGTGCCCTAGTGTTGGGCCCTCCCAGTGAGGGGAGTGTTGGAAATGGACACTGGAAGGGTCCGAATTGGTCTACCTAAGCTTCAGGTGTCGTCCTGTGGGGGTATGGGTGCGCTGACCCACCAAGGAAACATGCCCTTTGACCCACTTGGTTAGTGAACTGGGCTTTTAGTGGAGTGAGAACAAACTATCCTTCCTCTGGGTGAGGCCATTCTCAATGAGGGGAGTGTGGAAAGGACACAGGGATTTGCCTCTGGTTTGGCCGGAAGGGCTAGAAGATAGGGGCTTGGGACGTGTGGGCGCGCTCACCCGCTATGCAAACATGCCGTTTTATCCCAATTGGTTAGCCCTTTCAGATGTCTGACTGACCTTTTAAGCAGAAAGACGGGCGGCAAGGGTGAGCGGCGAGGGTGAGACGAAAGGGCGGTAAGGTGAGTCAGGTTAGCGGCGATGATGGGTGGGGAATGGAGAAAAAGGATCACGAATGAGGGCGAGAAGGGCATAGGAGTAAAGGGAAAGGGAGAGGGGCTTGGAGAGCGAAGAGGAAGAACGGAGGACCGTTCCCACAGCAACACCTAAACGAGTGCTCTGAGAAGTCCAAATCTCAAGTTCAATTGCGATTAGAGAGAGGATCATTAAAGGGGTAGGCTATAGCCAATGGGAGGGAAGAAGGATGGAGCAAGGCGGTACGTACCCAGTAGGACTTATGAATGACCATGTGGTCCAAGTTGGCCACGATCTTCAGCAGCGTGGGCGGTGGAAGGTCGTTGAAATAGAAGTACCTGCCAGGCGCACCCATGAGCGGAGAGTAATTGTGATTGATGGCGGCGTGCAAATCGAGCCAGCAGGGGCAACACAAAGGGAGTATTAGAGAAGCGAGTAAAACGTGTGCGTGGCATGTTAATGCCTCAAATAATTTTCTCAGAAGCACAGAGTACATATGCACAGTCATCTTCTGGTACATATGTACTAGTATTGGCGAGAGGAATCCGAGGAAGCCGAAAGACACACGCTTTATGTTACAACACTAAGAAACAAAGCAGCAAGCAACTATTACCATTTAGCCTGTGGGGACGTGCACAAATGCTGTGAAATTGGGCACTCACAACTCATCCATTGGGCACTCACAACTCATCCATTGGGCACTCACAACTCATCCATTGGGCACTCACAACTCATCCATTGGGCACTCACAACTCATCCATTGGGCACTCACGAGTCATCCGTTGGGCACTCACGAGTTATCCGTTGGGCACTCACGAGTCATCCATGGGGCAGCAAGCAGCGACTTACGAGTCATCCATGGAGAAGAACTCGTCGTTGGAGGCGGCGATGAGGAGCTTTGGCATGGTGAGGCGCTCCCGGAAGAAGTACGGATCCGTGTAGCTCTGTGGGGGAGGGGAGGGAGGTAAAGGGGGAGGAGGGTGGTTGGAGGGGTTGAGGGTGGTTGAATGAAAAAAAGCGTTGAAGAGTCTATAAATAAGCACCTTGGGCATGGTGGGGAGCTTAGAAATGAGCAGCTTGGGAATAGGGTTGAGCAGGAGCGCGACTCGACCAGACCCAACCCGACTTGGCCGGGCCATCCAGGTTTCAGGTAGACACCTGAAACACAAGGGCAAACACCTGTTCGCTTCGCCTCCAACGTTTCTTTTTTTGGCAAAAAGTGTTCAGGCGTGTTCGGTTCGTCGCGGCTAGCCAAGCAGTGCCGAACACGAACATGTTCGTGTTCGCCTTGTCTTCAGGGCGTTTTAGGGAAGAAGCCAGCGAAAAAACCTAAATTTCAAACACCATAGCATCTCCCCTTGCTGAAACCGATGCCCATACCATACCTAGAACCCCATTTCACCCATCCCACGGCTGTTGAAAAGTCGAGCATGAACATGTTCGTGCTCGGGGCGAAAATAGGGGAGTTCGCCCCTAGAGGCGAACAACGAACACCATTTTCTCAGAAAGTGTTCGCGGCAATCCGAACACCGTTCGGTTCGCCCTGATGACATGTTCGCACCGGGCAAACACCAACATGTTCGTGCTCGCCTCTTGCTCAAGCCTGCGCATGAGTGCACTGCTATAGCTTGCCAGCCAGAGCCAGGTGTTGTCTGTCAGGCAGGTGCGGAGTGAAGGCAAAGGGCTTTGAAAATTCTCATACGCATATTCCAGGGTTCTGCTGTGTCCTCTTGTCTGCCACCGGCTGACAGCAGAGCTGCACCTTGGTGGCTTTGACTCATGCTCGTGTTCAAGGCACTCTGTGCATCACACAAAGTCATGACATCACTCTGTCTATGCATCGCACCAAGTCATTGTCATAACTGGAACTTAAAATCCATACATCAGTAATGAGCTTGAAGCTCTTTAAGTACATCCAAGCTGGGCAAGCAATGGATGGGAAGGGAATCGTGGGCAATCTCTAGGGATTGGGGATAATCCCAAGACAATCTCCAATTGGTGAGTTGCAGATTGTTTAGAGATCGCATTTGGGTTTGGTTGGGATGTAGGTGTACACCCACCAAACACAAAGTGCAAACTGCACTACGCTACGATATAGAAAAAACAAAATACAAAGCGTGAGATTGAGGGCTAACACTGACAGGCATGACATCACTCAGTCTATGCGTCGCACCAAGTAATGACATCACTCAGTCTATGCATCACACCAAGTCATGACATCACTCAGTCTATGCATCGCACCAAGTCATGACATCACTCAGTCTATGCATCACACCAAGTCATGACATCACTCAGTCTATGCATCGCACCAAGTCATGACATCACTCAGTCTATGCATCGCACCAAGTCATGACATCACTCAGTCTATGCATCGCACCAAGTCATGACATCACTCAGTCTATGCATCACACCAAGTCATGACATCACGCTGCTTCACTGTCACGGCGCCACTTCAAGCCCCTCAAGCACTTTCGGAGTGAAGCTCAAACCTCTCCCTCTTCCTCCCTCCCTCTTCCTCCCTCCCTCTTCCTCCCTCCCTCTTCATCGCTCCCTCTTCCTCCCTTCCTCCCACCCTCCATAACTCTCCTCCTCCCACCCAATCTAGACCCAGACCCAAACCAAACCCTAAGCCAAAACCCTAAAACTCATGCTTACCAGAAGGGGGGGCAGCAGGGGCGAGTGCAGGAAGCTCGTGAGGTTGTAGTCGACATAGAAGCGCCCCATGATGGGCACGGCGCCCAGCGAGTCCACCAGGTGCTGCATGTTGGGCTCGAGGTTGATGAGATCGTAGCCGTACGATATGAAGGCCACCACTCGCTGCAGAAAGAGGGGGAGGGAGGGAGAGAGATAGGATTTGTTGGGGTGAGTGTGGGCAACAGGTGCTGCATGTTGGGCTCGAGGTTGATGAGATCGTAGCCGTACGATATGAAGGCCACCACTCGCTGTGGGGAGAGACAGGGAGAGAGAAAGAGGCAGAGTGGGAGGAGGGATGACGGTGGTAGGGTTGGGGTGAGTGCTGGCAACAGGTGTCAGGTGGTGCACGCTGCATGGTGCACGCTGCATGGTGCACGCTGCATGGTGCATGCTGCATGGTGCATGCTGGGGTCAAAGTTGATGCGATGGTAACCGTGCAAGATAACGGCCGTACAAGATAACGGCCGTGCAAGATAACGGCCGTGCAAGATAACGGCCGTACAAGATAACGGCCATGCAAGATGACGGCCGTGCAAGATGACGGCCGTGCAAGATGCCGTCCCGTGCAAGATGACGGCCGTGCAAGATGACGGCCACTACAGCACTCACTGAAGCGAGCAAGGGAGGGAAGAGAGGCAGAGTGGGAGGCGGGCGGGAAGGAGTACGGCTTGAGTGGTGGAGACCAGCCGGGTATGTAGAAGGGAAGAGAGAGTAAGGGACAGAGAGGGGAGGGGCAGAAAGGGGGAGGGACAGAGAGAGGGAAGGACAGAGAGAGGGAGGGACCGAGAGAGGGAGGGACAGAGAGAGGGAGGGAGCGAGAGAGGGAGGGAGCATACTGAGGGCAGCGGAAAGACAATGCGGAATGAAAGGAGGAAATGCAATGTGAAAGCCAATACATAAAGGCACATTCAATTTCAGCTTTAAAAAAAAAAAGCGAACTGTAGCAAAAGAAGAGAAATTACATACAGATAAACAAAGGAAGTACCTGCCTTATCGAGAGCTGCAGAGAGCCAAGCCATGCACGCGCGCTTGCTCACTCCGATACTCACGAAGCCCTCCACCTGGCGGAGAATGGGGCATGCAAGGGATACGCAATAGGAGATGGCAAGAGAGAGTGGCATGGAGCGAGCTGAAGGAGAGAGGGATGCGCAACGTGTCATTCATCCATCACCCATCCCATGCATTACCCATCCATAATTCTCATACATCAATGCATGCATTCAGCTGCCAGCATCCATCATCCATCACCCATCATCCATCACCCATCATCCATCACTCATCATACATCACTCATCATCCAACACTCATCATCCATCACTCATCATCCATGACTCATGCAGAAACGTTAAACTTGTAGCAAGCCAGCCATTGCAGTAGTATCAACTGAAAGTCCAATAGATCCCCACTAGGGAGACAAGACTTTGCATGGCAGCAGCTGAACTTAGTTAAAACATCTGTCTCTAGTACGCTTGCCGAGGAAAGATGTTTGCGTAACTTCGGCCTTGGGCCTTCTTCAGACCCCAAGGCAAGAATGAAAGCAAGCACTCTAAACTACCGATCCCGAGGCTGCAGCGCGGGGAATTCCTTTGCGGGGCTGGGATGGCAGGGAAAAGCTACAGTAGAAAATGAACCACAGTAAGCTAACACTTATGAGCAGAAATACAGAAATGACCTACACTAATGATGCTTGTTGTAGAAAGTACGCCTTTTATCATTGTGACTTTTTTAGTCGACGTCTACTGCCATGCACAGAGCAGGGCCATGCACAGAGCAGGGCCATGTGCTGCGCGGGCTTGGCCATGGGTAGAGGCGGGAGGGAGCCTTACACAAGCCATGCGAGGAAGAAGAACCATTCCCTGTGAGCATGCAATGACACGGAGGAACATGCGGCAACAGCAGCTCTCTAGCAGCGAGTTGCACAGCGTCCATGGCATGGAGTGGAGATGGAGTTGGCCATGGGCATGTAGATGGGCCATGGGCATGTAGATGGGCCATGGGCATGTAGATGGGCCACGGGCATGTAGATGGGCCATGGGCATGTAGATGGGCCATGGGCATGTAGATGGGCCACGGGCATGTAGATGGGCCACAGGCATGTAGATGGGCCATGGGCATGTAGATGGGCCATAGGCATGTAGATGGTCCATAGGCATGTAGATGGTCCAATCAGGAAGCGGAGAGACGTGAGGGGACCTGGCAGTACCTACCCAGTATCCCTGCAAGCAGCAGCACTCACGAGCACATGTGGAAGCAGCTCCCTGGCAGCAAGCTGCACGGCATCCATGGCGCGGATGAGGGACTTGGCCATGGGCATGTAGATGGGCCACTCGGGCGTGCTGGGGTCGTACACTGCCATGCCCATGGTGACTGACGGACGAGGTGCGTGGAGGGGGCAGGGGAAGGAGGGTGAGGGGCGAAGTAGGGGATTGGGCGAGAATAGGAAGGCGAGATTCTGGGTCAGCGCTCATATCCTCACATGCGCTCATATCCTCACATGCGCTCATATCCTCACATGCGCTCATATCCTCACATGTGCTCACATCCTCACATGTGCTCACATCCTCACATGTGCTCACATCCTCACATGTGCTCACATCCTCACATGCACTTATCTCCTCACATCACATGCACTCATCTCCTGCTCTACCAGCTATCGCTCCTGCTGCTGACGCCACTGGGAGTACGGCACACTGTAGGGGGACGGGTTCCCCTACACGCTGTCAACTCTTCCTCTTGTACATTCTGGCTTTCGCTGCTGTTGCAGTCCAGCTATAACACACCGGGGGATACGGACACACTATAACATGACTAGCTTACAAGCTGCTATCTCCTACTCGTGCAACTCCTGGCACGCACGCACGCACGCACGTTATAGGCTGACTTGGTACAGGCTGGGGTCTGCTCCTCTATCAGCACTTTGCTTCAACTCTGCTGCTGACTCCTAGGGGCACATGGCCGCGCTATAGGCCGACTCGCTTACAGGCTGTGATCTCCTCCTCCTGAAGCTCTTCACTCATGCTGCGGGTGACGCCAGGCGGGGAGACGTAGAAGGTGATGGGCATCATGGGCTGTTGATGCACCATCACGCCCAGCATGCCCAGCTCCACCACCAGCCTGCATGTGATGTGAAGGAGGAAGGATGCATGCACGGGCACAAGGTGGTTGATGGGCAAGGCCTGTGCTTGAGAATTCAAAAACGAAACACCAATGTTGCATGACGGCATTGGGACCCACTCACGCCCCTCCCACTCACGCCCCTCCCACTCACGCCCCTCCCACTCACGCCCCTCCCACTCACGCCCCTCCCACTCACGCCCCTCCCACTCACGCCCCTGTCACTCACGCCCCTGTTACTCACGCCCCTCCCACTCACGCCCCTGTCACTCACGCCCCTGTCACTCACGCCCCTGTCACTCACGCCCCTCCCACTCACGCCCCTGCCACTCACGGGGCAGCGATGCGGATGAATTCGTCGGTGTGGTCGGGGAGGTGGTAGCGCCGGTCGTCCCCACCGTGGTCGTTCCACCCCGACCCAACGAACAACAACACGAGCCCCTTGCTGGCGCTTGACAAGTTGTCCGGCACCTGCATAGAGGGGTGCATTGCGGTTGAGAGGGGTGCAAACGGGACTGACGAGTTGAGTCCACCCCGACCCAACGAACAACAACACGAGCCCCTTGCTGGCGCTTGACAAGTTGTCCGGCACCTGCATAGAGGGGTGCATTGCGGTTGAGAGGGGTGCAAACGGGACTGACGAGTTGAGTCCACCCCGACCCAACGAACAACAACACGAGCCCCTTGCTGGCGCTTGACAAGTTGTCCGGCACCTGGGCGGGCGGGCGAGAGGAGGAAGCAAGCACAGCCACATGGCATGAATTGAAGAGCAGGCTTCAGGCCTGGATGCCTCACCCCTCTGCACCACACCAGATGGTACGTGCACCACAGTGAGGAAGGGCATGCGGAACACTGCTGGCGCTAGGCATGCCATCTGGAGCATGGGAGGTCAAGACGAAGGACACCCTGCAGCTGCTGAAAGGTCAATGCATTCAAGGTCAATGCACTGAAGGTCAATGCATTGAAGGTCAATGTATTGAAGGTCAATGCATTCAAGGTCAATGCACTGAAGGTCAATGCATTGAAGGTCAATGCACTGAAGATCAATGCATCGAAGGTGAGGCTTCAGGTCTTGCCACTGCTCCGCATATGCACCCATTTGGCTCCCCATCCCATGGCACCATACCCCATGGCACAGTACCCCATGGCACCGCACAAAACGGCACCCCCACAACACATTGCAGTGATCAAGTCTACGTGACGACAAGCACCAATGCTTAACATCAATGTTTTTTTCCGAACGTACTTCAAGTGCTCATGCACTGCCTGTACTGTTTGCTCACCATATCGTGGTTCTAAACTACCAGAACTCACAATAAGCGTCACGTGGTGCCACCAGTAGAATCGGTTGGTAACGGATTGGTTGAGCCAGCGTTGGGTTCTCACGAGCAGCACATACCCCGTCCACCACCCCCCAGGCTCCTTGGCTCGCATGCGATTGCCCGTGTCCTTCCACCTGCCAGGCCAGCAGCAGGGCGGGATGGGTTGCTGGGAGTGAGAGCACTGTGCAGCCACCCTCCAGGCCAGCAGCAGGGCGGGATGGGTTGCTGGGAGTGAGAGCACTGTGCAGCCACCCTCCAGGCCAGGATCCTTGGCTCGCATGCGCTTGCCCGGATCCTTCCACCTGCCAGCAGCAGGGGAGGGCAGGGAGAGCCACGAACACCATAGGTCGGATGGGTTGGTAAGAGAGAGTGACAGTGCCGTTGCGGAGGGAGGTGGGCAATGGGTAAACATGGGTTGGGTTTTGAACTCACGAATGGCACAGCTGTAAGTTCATGGCTAGTTTAATGTCTTTCGCTTCTGCAAAGGAGAATTATGGTTTCTGCTGTAAGCAACCGTTGAAAACTCACTCGAATTCCGCGTCCGCGGTATAGACATATCTGTCCAGAAGTGTACCGCGACAGTTCCTCGCTGTCTCGCAGCCGCTTTGCGGGAAATGGGGTGAGGGTTGGGTGGGCTGTGCGGTGTCAGAGGAGAGCAGGCTGGGTCGCAGCTCGAAGAATGCCAAATAAACGACGGTCAGCGCGACGGCGAGAGGCAGAAAGCGACGAGTGAGAGCCGCTTGGAGTCGCCTGGCGACGACACCAGAGTTTGACGCGTGCGTACGCAGCATAATCAGCTTCGCTAACGGATCGTGAACGTTCCCGAAGATTTTCTTCGCTAACAGATCGTTCTTTCTAAGAACCGCGATGCATTGTTCCTTCTCAATCCCCGGCCGAACCCATTGATCGGCAACAACGAAAGCCACGACATGACGTTTCAGCGGATCGAGGTTGTTGCATCTGGGCGATAGGGTCGGCCAGGAGAAATGAGAAATGGTAGGGCGGGTCAGGTAGGGTTGTATTAGGGCGGGGGCAGCGCGTTCATTTTCTTGGCTTAGCCCGAAACAGTTACCAGATTCAGCGGTTTGTAACCCTGATTTAGGGTACATGTGGTGTTATGAATGAACTTGTCAGAGTGCGCAGATATCGAATAACGAGAATGAAGAATTACAGAATGATTGAACAATGAAGTAGCGAGGCCTAAATAGGGGAAAACCTAGCTAGGCGGGGGGTTCGGGATGGGATGGCTCGGTGATGGCTACGATTGGAGCGGAGGCCGAATCGTAAGGGGGTGGTTCGGTGCGACGAAATAGGCATCGCAGGTTCGTCGCGACACCCTCGGGATGTACTCGCTAAAGTGCGAGTACAGTAAGGAATTGTAATTCATTACACTCTCCCACCTTCTAAATAAGGCAGCCCTGTCTTGAAACAAGCCCGACACTAGCGAGGATTTCGTAGATCCCCTCTTCAGCTGAATCCGACGGCTGAAATTCCCCAGGCAATAATTTTGAAGAAGTTGGAATGTCGGCCGTTGATGTTGTCAGATTTCGATCTGACGGTCGAAGATGAAGTGACCTCAATTGTAATGAAAGTTGGATTGTGAGCCGTAGATGCATATGCTGTAGATCCGACGGTCGAAGCAGATGCGAAAAGGGAGGGAACCTGCCAGGCCCTCAGATTGGTTTGGGGAAATCAGAAATTACCCTGAATTTTCAGGGCTGCAAAGGGTTATGTATCCTGAAATGTCAGTGCGAAATTTGACTGTATCCTGGCAGTTCAGTGCTACATTTCGTACAGCCCTGTACGTTTCGCGCGTGTTATGTTAGCGGGGGTCGAAATGCTCTCCACATTCGAAGTGTGTGATGCTGGGGTGCACTACATAGAAAATAGCACAAAATAAACTATTCTGCACGTTATCTCCCGTGAAGTGTTGTAGTGGGTGAGGTGCCAGTCTGTAACACAAGAGGTCTCCAGCTCGATTCCAGCTGCCATCGAGAGGTCTGTTCAGGAGGTCCCTAGGACCTACCGACCGTTTTTTTTTAAGGGCCCACCACCGCTCGCATGCGGTTACCACGCTACCCCGTGCCCTAGCCTCGTAGCGCCCTCGTGCGCCCTCGTTAGCGCCCTCGCGCGCCCCTCGTTAGCGCCCTCGCGCGCACCCTCGTTAGCGCCCTCGCGCGCCCCTTCGTTAGCGCCCTCGCGCGCCCCTTGCTAGCGCCCTCGCGCGCCCCTCACTAGCGCCCTCGCGCGCCCCTCGCCGAGCCGCCCGCTCGCAGCCCGCCCGCCCGCTCGCTGCCCGCTTCGCGGCCCGCTCGCTACGCAGCCCGCCCGCCCGCTCGCTGCCCGCTTCGCGGCCCGCCCGCTTCGCAGCCCGCTCGCTCGCTGCCCGCTTCGCGGCCCGCCCGCTTCGCAGCCCGCTCGCTCGCTGCCCGCTTCGCGGCCCGCCCACTTCGCAGCCCGCCCGCCCGCTGCCCGCTTCGCGGCCCGCCCGCCTCGCAGCCCGCTCGCCCCGCTGCCCGCTTCGCGGCCCGCCCACTTCGCAGCCCGCCCGCCCGCTAGCTGCCCGCTTCGCGGCCCGCCCGCTTCGCAGCCCGCTCGCCCCGCTGCCCGCTTCGCAGCCCGCCCGCCCGCCCGCTGCCCGCTTCGCGGCCCGCCCGCCTCGCAGCCCGCTCGCCCCGCTGCCCGCTTCGCAGCCCGCCCACTTCGCAGCCCGCCCGCCCGCTAGCTGCCCGCTTCGCGGCCCGCCCGCTTCGCGGCCCGCCCGCTTCGCTGCCCGCTCGCAGCGCCGCCCGCTCGCCCGCTACCTGCTTCGCAGCGCCGCCCGCTGCCTCACTGCCCGCTTGCTGCGTCGCCCGCCCACACCGCTGCCCGCTTCGCAGCTCGCCCGCCGCGCTTCTCACCTGCTGCTCCCTGCCTGTGCACTGCCGCTTTCTCCTGCTGTGGCTACTAGCTTCGCTCTAGCGTGTCCCCTCTGCTGCTGCCGCTGCTCTGCTGTGCCCTCACGCCTGAGCTATGGCCTCTATTCGCGTTCTTTCCTTCGATGCTGAGGGCCGTCCCGTGCAGTTCACTTCCTGGCTCGACGACCTGCAGTTGTATCTTATGAGCAATAGCACGGACCACATCTCCCTCTATGACTACGCGTCTGGTGCTGCCGCTGCTCCTGCTGCCACAGCCGAGCTTAGTGTTCGTTCCCACTGGCAGACTCGTGACGCAGCTGCTCGCCTAGCCATTCGCAGTCACCTCCCGCTAGCTGAGCTCGAGCATTTTGGCGACTGCAAATCCGCTAAGGCCCTGTACGATGCTGTCGTCGCTCGCTACTCCTCACCTGCCACAGCCGAGCTTAGCCGCCTCATGCTGCCGTACCTGTTCCCCGATCTGTCCACCTTTACTACAGTCGCCGATCTTATCACCCACCTTCGCACTAGTGATGCTCGCCTGCGTGCCGCCCTTCCCACCGAGTTCTGCGCTAAGAACCCCCCTCCACTGTACTGGACACTCCACTTCATAGTCACCCGTCTCCCTGACACCCTCCGCTCAGTTCGAGACCACTTCCTTGCTCGCTGTCCCACTGAGCTCACAGTCGCCCTCCTAGAGGAGCACCTGCTCGCGGCCGAAAAGAGCATTGTAGCTGTCGGTGCTGCTCGTGGCGCTCCTCGCACCCCCATCTTTGAGGGGTGTTCTCCCTCTCCCCTCGCTCCCTCCTACGCTGCTGCTGCTGCTGTTGACTTCCTTGGTGCTGAGTCTGTTGGCGCTGCTTCTACTCCTGGTGGGAGGCGCCGCACCGGCAAGGGCAAGGGGGGCAAAAGTGGTGGTGGTGGCGCTGGGGGGGGAGGAGGTGGGGGAGGTGGGGGGGGAGGCGGTGCTGGAGGGAGCGGTGGCGGGAGCGCTGGTGGGAGTGGGGTCGGTGGTGGAGGCGGGGGCGGCGGAGGAAGCAGTGGCAGTAGTGGCGGCGGCGGCGGTGGCGGCGGTGGCGGTGGTGGCGGTGGTGGCGGTGGCGGTCGGAGCGGTGGTAGTGGTGGCGGCGGAGGTCGGAGTGGAGGCACTGGCTCGGGCCAGAGCTCCCACCAGCAGCAGCGTCCCCAGACGACCCAGCAGCTTCGTGAGTGGCTTGCTCAGCGTGGGACGTCGGGGGCCAGTGGCCGCTGTTCTTATGTCATTCGCACAGGTGACCGCAAGGGACAGACGTGTGGGAGGTTCCACACCCCGTACCGCTGCTTCTCCCGCCTTGACGACGCTTGGCGTGAGGAGATGGGTGCGGATGTTGAGCGCCCCCGCTGGGCTGAGCTCATGAGGGCTGGTGTTGATGTCTTTGCTCTTGACTATGATGCTATTATTGCTGCCATGTATGCATTGACTGTTAGTGCCGAGGGAGACTGTTACTTGTGTGTGCCGCCTGACCCAGGTATAGAGCCCGCTGCCCTGGGTACTAGTGAGTCTGCTCTCTCTGGTATGGTGCCCCCTGTACTTGCTCCCCCCAGTGCTGTCCCGGCTGGTTTCGAGTCTGCTCTCTCAGGTACAGCACCCACAGAGACTCCTCTCTCAGGTACCGCACCGGCTGAGGCCTGTCACACCTTCACCCTTGACTCAGGTGCTTCCCGTTGCTTCTTCCGTGACAGTACTGAGCTCACACCGCTTCCTGCACCGGTCCCAGTCTCCTTGGCTGACCCCTCTGGGGGCCCAGTCCTTGCCCAGTCCACCACTGTCCTCCCTTGTCCGGCGGTTCCGTCTGGCTCGTTGTCGGGTTTCCACCTCCCCTCGTTCTCGACGAACCTGGTGAGCAACGCTGTCCTCCAGGATCAGTGGGTTGACACCTTTACCCCTGGCGGACAGCGTGTGGCGATCTGCACGTGCTCCAGGACCGGCCGTCACCTGGCTACGTTTACCCGTCGGCCGGGGTCGAGTCTCTACACACTGACCACTGCGTCTCCTCAGGTAGCTGCTGTCGGTCAGGTGTCTGCGTCAGGTCTGGTAGCCCACGCCTGTGAGTGTCGTTCCCTGTCGCACCAGACTCTTCTCTGGCACCACCGCCTGGGTCACCCCTCCTTGCCACGCCTTCGTGGCATGCACCGTCGCCACCTTGTGTCCGGTCTTCCCAGGTCCCTCCCTCCCCTCCCTGCCTCGCCTGCGCCGCCTTGCCTTCCTTGCGTCGAGGGGCGGCAGCGCGCCGCTCCTCACTCCTCCTCGTTCCCCCCGACAGAGGCTCCTCTGCAGACCCTCTACCTGGACGTGTGGGGCCCAGCCCGCGTTCGTGGTCAGGGTGGTGAGCGGTACTTTTTGCTGGTTGTCGACGACTACTCGCGTTACACCACGGTCTTCCCCTTGCGCACCAAGGGTGAGGTCCCTGCTGTTCTGATCCCTTGGATCCGCACGGTTCGTCTCCAGCTCCGCCGCCGTTTCCGGACGGATCTTCCTGTCCTGCGTCTGCACTCTGACAGAGGTGGTGAGTTTTCCTCCGATCTCTTGAGGACCTTCTGTCAGGCGGAGGGCATCGAGCAGACCTTCACGCTTCCGGACTCCCCACAGCAGAATGGGGTTGCTGAGCGCCGCATTGGCCTGGTCATGGAGGTCGCTCGTACCTCCTTGGTCCACGCGGCGGCTCCCCATTTTCTGTGGCCGTTTGCTGTCCGGTACGCCGCGCATCAGCTCAACCTCTGGCCCCGTGTCTCCTTACCGGAGACCTCGCCCACACTGCGTTGGACGGGGGAGGTTGGCGATGCGTCGCGCTTCCGGGTGTGGGGTGCTCGTGCCCTTGTCCGCGATACGTCCGCGGACAAGCTCTCCTCCCGCACGCTTCCCTGTGTCTTCCTTGGCTTTGTCCCTGACGCGCCTGGCTGGCAGTTTTACCACCCCACCTCGCGCCGGGTCTTCGCCTCTCAGGATGTCACCTTTGACGAGTCGGTCCCTTTTTACCGTCTCTTCCCCTACCGCACTGCCCCCCTCCCTCCCCCGCCGCTTTTCCT